AAAAAAAAAAAAAACAAGAATAAATTTTGTTCGATTTGAATAAATTCTCACCTCAGAAGTGTATTACTCCGGAGCTGCTGGAAGGTGGGAGAAAAATGAGTCTGAGTTATAAGATCAAAGCTAATTACACAATTAAACAGCTGTAAGATTAGAACAGCGTTATAGGTTGAACTTTAGCTGCTACAGGCGTTTAAAGCATAAATACATAGTTGAATTAAATTAGAGCAAAGAAATTATGCACTGTAATTACCACTGACTCGCTTCTGGCTTATTAATATAGATTACTGTATTTTCATGGAGTCAGAAATATCAGTGGCTCCACTGGGATTCCATTCTAAAAGCAGGAAGACAGAAAATATGTACGCTAAATGCAGTTTATTACACACACATGTATTCTATTTATTCAGTCGAAGAACGTTTAGATGAAATTCTGCTCGTTTTATATGAGCGTGTAAGTTCTTGTTCGACACAACCTGATCTGGTCCTTTAGTTTGACCAACATGTTCAAGATTTATTAAAATGTTTCTCCTTCTAGATTTTCCCGTTTTTTATGTCCAGATGGCAGAAATTCCACTGGTCAGAAAGTCAGTTGTTAGTTCCGTGCAGCTCGCCTGCTTCTTTATGTCAAACACGTTGAATGAGCTACAAGATATCCCCCAGCTGCCAGAGAGCATCTGGTAGCTGTGTAAGATGTGGGCTTTATTGGTAAATCAAATGTGAGCATAAACACACTTTTTTATGCTTCTTAGCTTACTCTCTGCTCAGCCTGACCTGCTTCAGAAAGCCACATTTAAAAACTACAAATAGGTTTAGGTAAAGGGTCATCTAATGCTACAGCTTTTCCTGTAAATCAACCATCAACGACATTAAAGTGCCTGTGAAGTGCATATTCTTCACATGCAAAAAGTCAAATAAAACATCCTTTATATTTAAGAAAGTTGGTATAATACACACAGTTTTAGCTATTTTGCCACATATGTGCATATTTAAGAGAAAGATAAAAGCAAGTTTTTGGAAGGTATGTGGAAAAGTATAATGTGAATCTACAGTATATGATTAGTCGTTTGAGTTGATGTTTTTATTTAGTATTATTTTGTAAATTATTTTTTGTTTGAATATATTCT